GAAAAACTTTCACGGGGCCGTACGTGTTACCCGCGGGTAAGGGAAGGCTGAATTTAAATGGGCAAGATTGAAAGTGGGCAGGGGGTCATTACCCTAAAACTTCAGCCTCCTAGACTGCGTGGTTCCCAAGATAACTTACCCGTGACTTACCCGTGATCACAGGGCCGTACCGTTGACCTAGACTCCGTGGTTCCCAAGATATTAACTTACCCGTAAAAAATTTTCACAGGGCCGCACGCGTTACCCGCCCGTGGTTCCCGAGATATTTACTTCCCGGTGAAAAACTTTCAGGGGGCCGTACGCGTTACCCGTGGGTATGAATTTAAATTTGCGGGGTCACACGTGGGTGGGGGACGTTCCCCTAAATTTTCAGCTTCCTAGCTCTTAATTTAAATTTGCGGAGTCACACGTGGGTGGGGAACGTTACCCTAAATTTTCAGCTTCCTAGCTTTGTGAAATTTGCGGGGTCACACGTGCAGGGCCGTACGCGTTACCCGCGGGTACGGGGAAGCTGAATTTAAATTTGCGGGGTCACACGTGGTGTGGGGAACGTTACCCTAAATTTTCAGCTTCCTAGCTTTTGGGTTCTGAAAGTTGCGGACAAGTTGCTGCGGACACACACACACGACACACACACACACACACACACACACACACAGACGACCCCGTAACAATATGCGTTTTGTACTGCTGTTACACAGCACAAAACGCATAAAAAACTGAAACCTGGCTTGCTCCGCTTCACAGTTACAAGAACTATCCATATTCAGGCATGCGATCATAGTTCAGAAAAATGTAATATTTAAAAGCTGTTTAAGCTAATCACTCTGTCTTAGGCTGACAAATTAAGGCCCGGAAATTTCGATTGCATTGTTCGGAATTTAAGAAACTGGTCAAAATTTAAACCAGAAATCACGAATGAGGATGCAGTGAGGTCTAGGAATTGATTTCAGGCTATTCATTTTCAATTTTCTGCTGAATTAATCCCAATATTTTTAAAGATTCAAAACTTTCTGCGTTCTCAGTCAAAAAAAAAAAAAAAAAAACTAATCTAAATTCAGAAATCAGGCAACAAAATGGAACATAAGTGAGTTTCGTCCTCTGATTTATGTTGTCAGTTCCGAGCTGTTTAACAATTGTTCCAGAATTTCAAAATTTGTGGCGTTGGTGTTTTTATTTCCCAAATTAAAATTCGAAGTTGATATGAGCTCAAAATTGAAGGTCGCAATACAGAGAATCGAGATGTCAGTTGCTTCTAGAGATTTGGCCTTACCGATGCTCGAGGACTCCAACTTTGGCTTCTTAGCTTCTGCAGTTTGCAGACTGGTATGAATGGCTGATGCAAAAACATATCAAAACAGGTGAAGGGACCTATTTGCACATGTGGACGGTAAAGAGGGCAGACTTTTTGACAAAGTGTTTGCCGTGCAAAAAAATAGCTTTCCGGCGTAATGCTTTTTTCTGGACGGTTGTTACGGGAACAACAGGAGTGTTTGGAATGCATTTGTCGGCAGTGGCAAAACAAAAAAAGCAGAATTTCGACGCAACTACGGAAATTCAAAAATTTTCAATCTATTCTTTTGCACTGCATTTTGACTCTTTTTCTTCCACTTATGCATAGAAATTTCTGCGAGTGCGTAGCGGGAATGACGGTCTGCTGGGCGCGTCAAAATGTCTACAAAACTCATCTGCCATTCGCCTGACAACCGGCTACGCTTTCCGCACTAAGCTGCTTACTGGACGCTCCCGGTACACCCCGCATCGGAAAAACTTGAAAATCGATCAAAACAAACAAACCAAATTAACCAGCAGCGTATCATATTGGTGATTTTTGTGTTGTGCCCTGGGTACAAGACTTGTGGGAGGTTGTTAATCCCAGAACTCATATATAAACAGTTCATGCGCCTTATAATTAAATGCTCGTCTTGCCATCAAGGTGCTAAAAAGGGCAGTCTTCTAAACAGATAACTATGGTATGGCGACTCGAACTCACATCCATCCAGGCCGATCTCTATCACGAATGACTCAATCTTCTAAGACTGCTTCGTTACCCAGGAATAAAGTCTGGCAGTGATTTCAGAAGCCATGACACACTTGTTTTCTGTATATGTTATAAAAGAATAGCAATATTCCTCTGATCGCGGTAAGACGTCGTCTTGCAAGCTTCAGGAGTTTTTTACGCAAAAAAGAAAACTTGCTGATTATTTTCATGCCCGGATGGCAACATACCAGGCTTGCTGGTGCGATCATGCGTTTTTGCAACAAACTTGAATTAAACAGGTCGCTAAACCATGAACGGTTGTTGTTCCACACCTACTTTGTGCACTCGCTAGCGTAAATCATCGCAAAATTTGCATAAAGGAAAACGAATAATTTCCGCCTAACGGTCGTTCCCTGAAAGTGATCTAGCTGCTTAGTAAGCAATTTTCCCAATAAAACTTTCAAGTGCCCATACATAAGAATCACGCAAGTCTGGAGGCTGAATCTGAAATCTTTAAGTTGCACTCGGACAGGGGACATCTCCCTAAAATTTCAGCTTTCCAGCTTTTCTAGTCCTCGAGTTAATAATTTTCCCGCCAAAACCTTCACATGCCCATGCGTGAGTACCACGCGTGCCTGCGGACTGAATTTGAAATCTTTAAGAAAACATTGCTTTGAACTTTCAAGCTTCCAGCTTTCCTGGCTGCCAAATCAGCAGTTTTCACGCCAAACTTTCCACGCACTCGCACGTAAGAACCACGGATGCCTAGGCCTGAATTTGAAATTTTTTGCTCACACATGCACAGAGAATATCCTTGCAAACTCCCAGCTCTCTATCTTGCCTGGTTCACGTCAAAAAATTTGCATACTTTTTGAAGCATTTGTACATGAGACTCAGGCATACGCGAACGATATTGAAACGGGAGGGCCGCACTCTCGAAGTTTCAGCTTTCTAGCTTTTCTGATTCTCAAATTAAAAAGTGGGTGACAAAAAGACATACATACACACAGCTTCTTGCCAATATGCATTTTTGCATTTGCATGTATGTAAAAGCGCATAAAAAAAAAAGAAAAACATTTTCCCCTATTTAATAAATACCCACGCTGAACTCTCCCGTGGATGGATCTTTAAGGCCAGTGATAGTGCGAGACCGGAAATATGAGCTCCCGATGCTTATAGAGACCGTAAAATATTGCGTTTCTTTGTGCTCACCGGAACAGTTATCTTCTGTCCCTGTGAATGAAGCAGCATTCGTTCAACGAGCTCCGGAAGCTGCTCGTATCCCGGAGTTCACTAGTCATACGAGTGGCCCTTGCGCTACCGTAGTCCAATTTCCAGGGTGAGTGGCGTGCTAGCTTTTACAAAGCCAATCTTACTATAAATGCACAAATCGTTTCGAAACAAATAAGTCTGCACTCAGCCTGCCTTCAACTCGTTACTGAATACGGACAGGCCTTTACTGTCGTTCGTGAAGATGTTGTTACTGGACGGGCTCCTCGTCCTCGTTCCTCAGTGTGGTACGAAGACTAACTCATCCGGACATTTGCTGCATAAGCGAGGAGACAAGGCTGAAGCAGCGAAATGGAACGTGAACGATGGCCTACCTGTATCTCGTATTTTGGCATTTTCGCCGAAGTATACGGTGAATATCGTACTGGTTCTGCTTCTTCTTCAGCAGCGTCCGGATTGCGCCATGCGCCGCGTCTCTCCGGCGGAGAATAGAAGGAAGCTGACGACATTAATTTTCAGTTCTTTTTTTTTTCGGCCAACAATTATTCAATCAAAGAAAGCGTCGAGTGCGCACCACAGACAAAAGTGTTGCGAACCGTCGTTGGTCAACGAATGCCCATTGGCGACACACCATTCACCAGCATGTTTATGTGTCTGTCCGCCAGAATATGCAGTAAGGATGGAGATGGAATGACAAGTTAATGGGGACGGTTATGATCGGACAGCACAACACCCCATGTAGACGGGGTCAAGGTCCTTCAGAATGGCACATACACATACACACACACATGCATAGATACATACATACACACACAGAGAGGAGTTGCATGCATGATGCATCAGCAGCTACTCCGAAAACATGCACATTCCGATTCGAGCGTATCTCCGAATAAAATTTCAATTTACAGCGCTTCTGTAGTGCCAGTGCTCAGCGAGCTACTCCGAGTCAACCAGTCGTCAGCTGGCGAATAAGTTCAACTCTTAACGCGTCCAGCTCTCGCGGGGCTAATTTACGTCCATTAAAAGTTATCAGCAGCGCTCGGCTATTGGCTCATGCAAAATGGGCACCGAATCGCCGACGCGCTATTTACCTCTGTCACTTCCCCTCTCCCATCACACACACACCAAACGCCGTAAATCAAACAAGGCAAATTCCCCAGTCCCTAAGCGAGCGCACCATCTCGCCTTCCGTAAGCCCTGAGCACATCTTCAAATGTGCTTGCATTATCATATGAATCTACTTTTTACAGAAATTGGTCCCATAATTTGGCCGTTTGTATCACCGGGCCATCATCGAGAGCAGTGCTCTCAGTCAGTCGCTCTTTCCTACTGTACCATTCACAGATCTTTAGATTTTTCTTTTATTCCCGTTTTTGCTGCACCACAGCGGACGCGTGTCCCAAGAACGTACATGTAAAGAACTCTCCCTTCCCTCTTCGAAGAAAAAAAAAAAAAAGAAAAAAAATATTTTAAAGTTTCACAGCAGTATGTGCTAAATTCAGCTCATTACTCAAGATATAACAGCTCAACCGATTCCTGTCTTTACTCTCAAAACCTTCTCTCAATTTGTTTCCGAAATGCCTAATTTTGATGTAAACTTTCGCTAGCAATAAAAGTAAAGGATCAATTTAACGGAGACAAAAGAGGGGAGGGGGATTTGCACGAGCCGAGCACTTTTTGTATGCGGTGTGACGAAAGCTCTGGGGCTAAATTCAGTGTCTTCCAGTCTTTCTGCCTAAAATTGCAGTGAAAATTTTGAAGGCGAAAAAAAGTGGAACTGGTCCTTCTCCATGCTGCACTCCTCCACTTACAAAGGCAATCCTCCACATTTTTGCTTTGAAGCGACGCAAAGGCACGGCCTATGGTGACTGCAATCAGCCAGTAACTAGCAAGCCTCCCAATGGTGCTTCTTCAGCAAACTGTTGGGCCACCCAGTAGACTGGACCAGCGCCCGGGATTCTGTCATGCAAACAAATCCGCGAGCAACTGGTTACCTCGGTGGCCACTTGGAGGCAAATGATGTCACTTCCGCGACCTGTTCCGGATAACGCATTCCAGCTGTCCGGCCATTGGAAAGTGAATAAGCTGCCTGCTGAATTTAAAAGTGTACTAAACCGCTACGAAGACGTTTTGGGAGTAGGAGAAGAGGATGCGAAAGGGACGTGGGGTGAGAGGGAGGGGGCTGTAGTAAAGAAGGGCTGGATGAAAAGGGTTTCGAAATCGATTAAATTCGAGGGAACTGAGAAAAGGGCGACTGTTAGTCATCAGTACAGTCACTGGTATGTAAAACTGGAAAAACATATTTCCTCAACATCTTCTTTTCAGAGACAAGCCTTGAGAAGGGTGAAAAGCTGCAAGGAGCAGCTCGAGTTTGGCCTGACTGTGCTCTGCTTAACGGCGGCCAGCGACGCGCGCTTTTCAATTTGGCATTTTCTTTCGCTTATCTGATATAAAACGAAAAGCAATTCGCGTAATCGGAAAATGCGAAACATTAAAAATAATGAAATGTATGAGCAATGCAATTTGCTTTTTATTATTGCTGGTAAAATAATGCAATAAACCCACAAATAATAATAATAATAAGCAGCCGTAGTGCCAAAGCCTATTGAACTCATTCGCTTGTACGATTGAATCCAAGAAAAGAAGGAAGAAATAAGAGATTGTGCAAGCCTCTAATCTCTGGACTATGACCAACTAGACTCGGCAGAAAGGCTCCGGAAGAAAAAACGATGCACCCGCGCTGCTAGCAGCTCTATGCCAATTAACCGAACTACGACCAGCACGAGCAGAAATGCTTCCTTCCCTATTAGAAGCACAGAGAGCATCCATTCAGTTTGTTCACGCCATACATTTATTTATTGAAGA